GATATACTTAGAAAGCATATAAGATATATTCTTAATTTACAGTACACCTTTAAACGCTTTTGGGAGGTAAAAACCATATATATATATATATATATATATATATATATATATATATATATATATATATATATATATATAGTAATGGTAATAAATCCGTTGGTATATAATCCAAGTGAACCTTAATAATATAAAATATTAAAACTGATCCACAAAGAGAGCGCAATGTATTTATTATTACAGACCAAGTAATTAGTACACAATAAAATCCAAAATTGCATCATATTAACCTTATGATATTAAATTGAGGTTATATGAAGAAAGAGGTGTTTCATAGACTGCAGAGAAGCTTATGATAAGGTATGACAAAAAATATAATTAAACTTCATGTAAAACCTATTTATTTGCGAAAGATATAGAATAATGCATGATATATATATATATATATATATATATATATATATATATATATATATATATATAAAGACATTTTATGATTATACGTTCTTTTTTATACATACAAATATTTAAGTTAATGCTCTGTTTATAATAATCAATATTAACGACATTTACCGGCTCATAGAAAATATGCGTCCTCCGACAGGAATCGAAATTGTATCCTACACAGAACAGTCATGCGCCACTTGGTTTACCGAATTCGCCACACGTCGATTTTACTGTTTTTAAACTACAATTCTCCATGATTTTCTCTCGTACATTCATATCTGATCGATGCGTAACCAAATGTAAACAAATGACGTTACACATTATGAAATGGACAAAATCCGGCAATTATTTTAAGATATTTTTATATTTATACGTTATTTTTTATAGATACAAATATTTAAGTAAATGCTCCTCTTATAATAAACAGTATTAACAACATTTACCGGCCAAATGTCCGAGAAATTTTCATAGAAAATATGCGTCCCCCGACAGGAATCGAACCGGTATCTTACACGCAACCGTCATATAGCCTGACGTGCTTTACCGATTTAGCCACAGAGGAGCGTTTCGGTTAGCAAGGTCGATTTTATTGTTCATATATATATATATGTGTGTGTGTGTTTAGAGAGAGGGAGAGAAAGATAAAGAGAGAGTTATACGAATTTGCTTGATTCTGGTTCGCCCATAAATATATTCAATAAACGTACTTTAACCAACTCGGCTACGAAGAGCTACGTAATCAAGCGAGGTTGTATTTGTGCCTTTAAAAACATTTCACTCGTTCATATCTTTGAAAGTTCTTTCGCATCCGAAAAGTAAAGAAAACAATTTTTAAAGAAAGCAAGGGTTTTTATTTATTAAACATATTAAATATATATATATATATATATATATATATATATATTATTAAGAAATATACATCACTCAGCGATAGCACGACTTGTAGTTTCATGCACAACGCAGTCTTCAGGTGCTGAGTATAGACTAACTATTACGTAATTTAAATTTTAATAAAAATTTCTGGTTATCGCAGTGTTGGCGTAGTTACGTATTATACTCTGATTAGAGTTTTCTAATTTTTAAAAAAATATATTTGGCATTTTAAATAAATGAAATTTGTATATACATATATATATATATATATATATATATATATATATATATATATATATATATATATCGTCATTTCGATCGAGCGCTATTGGGAAAAAAGGTAATTCGAAAACAGTAGCTTTCGCCGTTATTAATGCACCGCTCCTCATTAATGAATTGAGCCCTCTGGCTTCTGGCGTTTGTATCCATTTGTATGTAATACGTTAGAATTTCCCTTTCTCTGTCGTGCACTGATAGCTTATGGGTAGGATCTCCGAATCGGTCGGGTTTTGATCTGGGCTTGAAGCAATTGGATGTCTAGCCACACTGATTAGCTGTGACACTCGAAAACAGGCTTGTAAGGGGATGACAATATATATATATATATAAGTCGACTAAGCTTAAATATAATATAATAATATTATTATTCAGTAATATGAAAATCCGCTAATCTGAGTTTCATGGGATAACAATCATCAGGCGGACTGGTATTATTGAATAATAATAATAATAATAATAACAACAATTACCATAATATATATGTACATTTTAAGACATTTTTTATGTTTATACATTCTTTTTATAGATACAGATATTTAAGTAAATGCTCTGTTTATAACGTATGCATTATGAAATGGACAAAGTCCGACAATTATTTTAAAACATTTTTTATACGTTCTTTTTATAATGTGTGACGTCATTTCTTTACATTTGGATACGTATCGATCAGATATGAATGTACGAGAGAAAATCATGGAGAATTGTAGTTTAAATACAATAAAATCGATCGACCTTGCTAACCGAAACACTCCTTTGTGGCTCAATCGGTAAAAGCACGTCAGGCTATATGAAGGTTCCATATAGGATACATGTTCGATTCCTGTCAAAGGACGAATATTTTCTGTGAAAATTTCTCAGACATTCAGGCCGGTAAATGCTGTTTAATACTGTTTATTATAAACAGAGCATTTACTTAAATATTTGTATCTATAAAAAAAATAAACGTATAAACATAAAAAAATGTCTTAAAATAGTTGTCGGACTTTGTCCATTTCATAATATATATATATATATATATATATATATATATATATATATATAAAAAGCTGAAGCTTAAAATAAGACGACTAAGCCTAAATATAATATAATAATATCATTATTATTATTAATCCAGTAATATCAAAATCCGCTACTCAGAGTTTCAAGCGATAAAAATCATCAAGCGGATGAAACTCAGAGTAGCGATTTTTGGTATTATTGAATTAATAATAATAATAATAATATATGATATTTTCTTCTTAATCTCTTTTTTAATGATAACAAAATCCACTACACGGAGTTTCATGTGATAATAATCATCAGGCGAAGGAGCAAGCAATAAATGATTTCAAAGCTTTGCTTTAAGAATTAAACATGTCTGTTGGAAACAATTCTGTCGAACCTAACCCGGATTCCATTCCACTGGTTTTTTTTTACCTTAATTATAAGCAGAAAATATTCAATATACAATCTGAAAAAGTTATTAAAATATTTTCGTACATATACATATATAGATACGTACATACGTATCTACATAATAAATGCGAATGTCAGTGTGTCTCTGTGTCAAAATTTATCAACTTTACTCCTGGAGGCCGTAGCCCAACGTATCATACCATTTTTGGAATTAGGCCGACTCCATCCGCAAATTAAAAACATCGCAGTCTGTATCCGGACCCACAATCCTGAAATTCTGGATTCCCAAGTTTACATTACTGTGATTGCTTTTGGCGGTTTTTTACGTGATTATTTGCAACGAATTGTTTTATACGATAACAATTTTTATAACTTGAAAATAAATTTGGGAATAATCGAAATTAATTACAAAATCTAACGAAAGTCAACCATGAAATAAAAATAATTGTTTGTACGCTAAGTAAAGACCTACACACATCAAATTATCTATAATTTAAGTGGTGCCAGAAAAATTATCGTTGAACTTTTAAAAGATAAGCTTAAATATTAAATGGAATACTTAAATGAAGCGATCAATTTTGAGTTCTGCAGTTTATTATTAGCTATCACATCTATAAAAATTATCGTTTGAAACTTTGAATGCAATAGAAAGCAGTATATATATATATATATATATATATATTTAAATAGGTTAGAAACGGTACAAAAAGCGTAAAGGCATTAAAAACTAGAAATATTAAATATTAAATGAATACTTAAATGAACCTTGGGTCGATCAATTTTGAGTTCTCGCAGTTTATTATTAGACAAACATATCACATCTATATCTATATTCGGAGGAGTCAAGTTTTTTTCCCTACCTACTTGTTCAAAGAACTCCTTCCTTGTTTATTACCTCTGCGATGAAGGTTCAATGAATCAAAATGACCTCCATTGGTAAATGTCCGGTCTATCTTCGTTTACCGTGGTTGGGTAGGATTTAAATGCAAGCGTCATGATAGTGAGGTTATTTTGCAGCTTTCAAACTAGGTCTGTAGTATATATATATATATATATATATATATATATATATATATATATATATATATCCGGGTCTTGAGGCATTCAGGTTGTCTAGTTGCACTGAAGAGTTGTGATATAGCGAATCAGTACTGTCTGCGAATTTCTAGGCATATATATATATATATATATATATATATATATATATATATATATATATATATATAAATTAATTGATTTAAAATATGTTTTTTCGCTACACAGTTATAACCATGTTTCAAATATATATATATATATATATATATATATATATATATATATATATATATATCTTGAACAATGAAAATTTTAGAAAATTAAAATTTCAGACAGACTGGGTTATATATTAATATTTTTGTTTTATTTTTTTAATTATGTTCCTCGACTAGATTCGGCTAGCATGGACATCATCAGGAGAACAAATTCATGAATGTTAGTAGCAGCAAATATATATATATATATATATATATATTCATTACTTATCTATTCATAAAAATTTTTTCTTTGCATCAATAATTTTTTTAGTTTTTCTCTATTCATTTCTGTCGTATTTTTTTTAGAAAGACTTTTTTTGTTTTCTTCATTTCCATTATTTAAATGCATTATTCGGTTTAATTTTTTAAGCCA